TCCTCCACTACAAACAATGATAAAAGGAAAAAGAACAACAACTCTTGGATTCAGTAATATGCATCGACAAAAAATTCATGTCTCACTTTTAATTTGTTTTTAGAAGCAATCTCACCACATATTTTGTTTTTCAGCTTGTCCTTTTATTTCTTTCTGGTGGCTAAAAGTCATATCAACAATGCCGCATGAAACACAGAAAAGTCCCTATTCCCTCGGTATATATGGAGGTCTCGTCGCATCAAATCTAATAGTGCCATTTTTGCAAGTTTGGTTTATATTACTCGCATTGTTGAGATCTTCTGAGAAGATACACGAAAAGATGACAATTGCTGTCCTTAAATCACCTGTAACTTTCTTTGACACCAATCCTGTTGGTAGAATTATCAACCGTTTCTCCAAGGACATCGGTATAATGGACGATACTTTACCGATGAAATTCGTGTTTTCAACGCTTACAATTGGTACATTTCTGGTTGCGTCGGTTTCCATCGGTRTAATCAACTACTGGTACTTTCTCGTCACTATCCCAGCGGTGAYGTGTTTTTTATTCCTATGTCAATGGTATCTCAAGCCTGCTCGTGACCTTTACAGATTAGAAGCCTCACGATGCAGTTCAGTTTACGATCATGTTTCAGAAACGATGGAAGGATTAGAAGTCATCCATTCCTCACACATGGAGGACAAAAACATGTTCAAACTCTACAGGTAACTATCCYGCTGTTGTTTATTAAAGAACACGTAAAAGTTCTTTCTTATGGCATCGATGATCGCATGTTTGCAAAGAAAAATGGGTATTGCACTCCCCTGACACAACGTTCCTAATATGGAGTAGTCCAGTTCTAGCCTCCTCTCAACAGGAGGAGCCAACGGGGTCTGTTCTTCCAAATTACTGTTCTTTTAATAATAATTTCCTGGGAAAGGTATTTCGAACTACAGTGTTAACATCCCCCAAGCAATTGTGGCGCCCTTCCTTCTTTAAAATAATTTCTCCTCCAGAAACCCGCCGGCTCCTCCAAACCATTCTGCGACTCGCAGGCAAAGAGAATCCAGTACATTTTGCATGTGCATGTGCAGAGAATGAGCAAATACGTTTGATAGTTGAGCCACTGTAAAATTCCCGTTTTTTTTCATTTGCTTGTGTTTCGCAAGTTTGTACTCATCATCATCGCAACATTTATGTATTCAAATTTTCGCTTCAGTGTTTGTGAAATGCAAAGGATAATTCTATTCCTGCTAACACATTTCATCATTTCTAATTCTAAGACGTGTATTTTTTTAAAACAGTCTCCAGAACTGCCATACTCGAGCGCTCTTCCTGACTATCACCATTGGCCGTGCACTCGGTTTCTATGTTGATTTACTTTGTGCATTGTACATCACGTTRGTGGCAGCAGGAGCAATATTTTTACATTTAGATGCAGGTAAATGCTCGTTATAATGTAATGATTAGACAAACGAACGCAAACTGATCAGACAGCGTTTTTTTTTTCATTATTGTTTGGCTGTTTGTACTTTTATTCAGGAACAACTGGGTTGGTACTGGCGATTTCGATGACTATCATTGGTAATACAAGTTATGGTTTACAAATGTTTTCGTCCATGGAAACCTTCATGGTATCCGTTGAAAGAGTAATGAAATACACTCAACTCCCCTCTGAACCAGGCTACGCTAGAGATGGACAACCACCAAA